GGTGACGCGCGTATAAAGTACCCAAAAAAGCGACCACAAAAATGACAGCAATATCTAGACTTATGCAAAACTTAGAAGGACCAGACACAATTAAAAGGAAAATGCTGTACGGAGTGTTGCAGTCCACAATCCTATACGAGGCCCCCATCTAGCACGGGACACTGGCAATAGAGAAATACTGGGAGATCATGGAGCGTGTGGAAACCGGGTAATTAAACAGGACTCGATTTAATATATAACTTTATTTCGGATCATTGACTAGCTCAGATTTTCAGGACGGTTGAAGGAATTTTATGATGGCATTTCGCGACCTGGGCCCGATGCTCTTCGTCGAGGGCCCGTCTCGCGCTCGCTGCGCATTACGGACTACTGCTCCCTTCCAGGACCCAATGCCAGCAGTCAAGCCAAACGGGCTATTGCCCTCTGTCGGACACTCCAGTCACCCAGGTGGCTCGCAGGCGTCTGCACTGGCATCTTGGCTGTAGGCTGCCTCACACAGCGCACTCAGAGAAAGGGCCTACGGCCTACTGAGGGTGGCGTGCAGCTATCGCACCGCGTCGAACGTAGCCCTACAGGTTATTACTGGGATACCACCACTGGATTTGACTCTCGAAGAAGGGAATCGATAGAGTGGAAGAAGACCAATCAATTCAGAGACGAAAAAGATGGAGGAAGACAGGAAGTTTCAAAGATGGCAAACAAGATGGGAAAATAATAGAATAAAGGAACAATGGATCATATGGAGCGTATGGCTATCCTGATTCCTGCAAGCACCGACACATCTACTACTTCACCACTCAAATACTCACCGGACGCGGGTCTTTCAGGACCTACACCCAAAAAAAAGGCAAGACCGATGACAAATGTGTCCACTGCGGAGAGGCAGTGGCGGATCCAGGATTTTCTTCAGGGGGGGGGGGGGGGGGGGCGCAGGCTAAGAATTATCAACAATGATTTTTTGAAAATTTATTTTTACTTTACTTATACGTTAAAGAATGTAGATTGTAGATACAGTGTGGTCCAATTTGGTCACTTTTGATCTGAAACGTCAATTTTTGAGCCAGATACATAAAAATGAATTCTCCAGTCTGCTGAAGCTCAAAGGACCACGCACAGATCTTATGAGAAAAAATAAATTTCACGATTGTCATGAAATTGAAATATGTTATGCTTATCGACCTCCTGAACGTAAGTTCTCGTAGGCCCAAAAAGATCATGATTAGTTTCGGAGATACAGGACCGATAAAAAAAAGTAGAACAAGAAAAATCTCCAGAATTTGTTAGTACGTGGCTGGTACATTAATTTAATTCATAACCAAAAATTACACATTTTTCGACAAGTTTTCAACTTACAAAGCTTCAGATGACATTACTTTGGCATTTTTCCGCCCGTATTTAACTTGAATATGTCATTGCCTGAATTCAACATATTTTGAAATGTTTATTTTTTGTCAAAATTTTGTATATTAACCCGGCTCTGTATCTCCGAAACTAATCATAGGATCTTTTTGGGCCTACGAGAACTACGAGGTGGAAAGCATAACATTATAACATATTTCAATTTCATGACAATCGGGAAATTTCCGTGCGTGGTCCTTTAATGATATCTTGATTGGTGCAAATACTGCAAACCGTCCTTTGATACCCTCAACCGTTTTGCCGCTAGAGGGTGTTTCTCGATTTTGAGCGATAAGGTGAAACCTTCCTAATTTTTTTATTTATGAAAATAATTGATTTCTGTATAAACTTTCTGGAGGAACATTTCCAAGCAGAATTCAATGACGTACTTTTTATATCTATCTTATTTGTTTAATAAAAAAAACCTATACAGGGTGGGGCACGAAAAGCTTCCCACCCACAGGTTCTCAAGTGTTAGGTGTTTAATCAAAAATCGCTCAGACACGTCAATTTGTGTTTTTTGGGGGACACATTTTATTGGTATTTTCATCCCCTACCTGTCAACCCCTAAGTTGGGGTAACAGGTACCCCCAAAATTTCAAATGAAAAAAGAATTCGAGTGATATGTCATTTGGTAGCTATTTTCATTAAGATTATATCCCCGAAGTTTTAAGTTGTTACTATTTACCCTGCCGAAATGGCGGCATACCAAAGTTAGGAAAGATTTCGAGGGATTATTCACTGTAACAAGATTTCGGATTTAGAGCGATTTTGAGGGATTTCGGTTGATTTCGAAGGATTTCGGATGATTTCGAAGGATGATTTCGGAGTATCTCAGGTGATTTCACATATATTTCAATTTGATTTCAGACTGTTACTTATCTCATAAGTATATTCGAAAGTGTATATAGCATAAACTGAAAAACGGCCGAAAACGAATTTTGGGCCAGTTGTGAGGGATTTTTGGGTATGCGGAATGATTTCTGAGAGATTTCGGAGTGATTTCGTGGATTTCGGAAGGATTTCGGGGATTTCCGTAGGATTTCGGAAAGATTTCGGGGATTTCGGACGAATTTGTGACACGATTTCGGGGAGTGATTAACCCCTCGGGAAAACTCGAATAAAAAAGATAAACCTATCAAACTTTATATCATTGAAACATTGAAAGCAGCAAAAGCAGAGCTATTTAAACGGTAATTAATATATAGGGTCTCCAGTGTCCCATCAAACCAATCGGACTCTGGTTAATATCTCGAATTCGGGAATAAATAGAAAAAAAACTGAGAAAGTCACTGGATTCCCTAGTCACAATTGTCACAAAACGGTTCACAATATCATAAAGTTTGAGCCTCAGACTGGGGGTTGCTTTTTTTGTATCTCGCTCAGAAAATAACGTTTTTCTCCAAACGTCAGAAAAACGTCACTTTGTTAACTCCTGTCAAGATGTCAGAAATTTGATTTCTATGCTGCTAGGCAAATCCAGCGGGTTAACACCTGTCGAGGTGGTAGAAATTTAATTTTTCTCCAAACGTCAAAAAAACGTCACTTTGTTAACCCCTGTCAAGATGTCAGAAATTTAATTTCTATGCTGGTAGGCAAATCCAGCAGGTTAACACCTGTCGAGGTGGTAGAAATTCAATTTCTATGCTGCTTGGCATCCCCAGCGGCAGCAAAAGTACTTTTAGTGCCGCTGGAGCGGCAGCAAAAGTACTTTTAGTGCCGCTCGTACTTTTACTGCCGCTTAACCATTCAGTTACCCCCGAGCTTACCCCATTCGTTTGGAGAAAAAATAGTGTGTTGCCTACGGAGTAGAAGCACTTTTTTGTGCTTCAGCAGTATTGCAAGCCTCACTACGTTCGGCTCGCAAACCTACTGCTTCAGCACAAAAAAGTAAAGCTTCTACTCCTAATACAACAATATACTATTCTATGCTGCTTGGCAACCCCAGCGGTAGCAAAAGTACTTTTAATGCCGCTCGTACTTTTACTGCCGCTCAACCATTCACTTGCCCCCGAGCTCACCCCATTCGTTTGGAGAAAAAATAGCGTGTTGCATACGCAGTAGAAGCACTTTTTTGTGCTTCAGCAGTATTGCGAGCCTACTACAAAAAAGTAAAGCTTCAACTCCTAATACAACAATATACTATTTCTATCAAAAGTGTCCAAATTGGACAACCCTGCACATATCAGAAAACGGAAAATAACAAATAAAAATACCTATTCCAAAAAAAATATAGGACATTTATCCATCTGATAAAAACAAAACGATAAATTGAACAATAGTGTAGCTTGGACAATTTTCCTAAAGCATTTTATTGGAAAATTTTTCCATGAACTCTTATTGGAAAATTCTTTTATAATATTTTTCTATCTATGATTTAAAAAAAAAAAATTAGTTTTTGAGGCTCTGAGGGGGGGCGCCCCCCGCCCCCCCCCCCCCCCCCCCTGTATCCGCCACTGCGGAGAGGTGGACTCAGTGGAGCACATTGTCGCAATATGCCAGAGATGGCTGGTACAGAGAATGCAAGTAATGATAGACCTGGACATAGATGGCATGACCACCAAATCATTCTTAGACCAAATGACGACATCAAGAAGAAAATGGGACACAGGAAAGAAATATATATACGAGATAATGAGGACAAAGGCAGCAGAAGAATGGGACGCTCAGGGATAAATCATAGACAAACTTTACTTCGACGGCAAGCCCGCAGAAGGTAGGTATTTCCAAAGTAATTGGGAAAAGAGGGGAAAGCGTTTTAGTCAGTTGAAGAACACCACCCGACACACCCTCATGGCACCAGAACAACAATGCCTGGGACAGTCTGTAAACAGATTTCCTAAACCCCTCTATAAAAAAAAGTTATTTAAAATATGTTTAAATCACCCTAGGCATTTTTCCTTGTACCTAATTTTTTTAATTTCCACAAAATGGAATAAGATTTTGTATACATCATGCGAGTTAAAATGTTTATTCATTCGAAGAAAATTAATCCACTCGCTAGGACTTGTGGGTTAAACTTTCTTCTCACGAATAAACATTCATTTGACTCATTTGGCGTATAAATAACTATTATATCAGGATCCTGAAATTTTATAATTCTTGTATGAGATTTTGCATTAAGAACTCAGAAACATGAGGATGTGATTTTATCCTTTAAATTTCACTTTCCTTGATACAACATCAACATGTAACTCTGTAACGAAAAGAGATATTTTGTATATCTCTATTGACGTCCCCTCTCTATTGATTTCAAGCGGTGGGGATAATGATCTCTATCCCAGAGTCCCAGCTTCAGATTTCCTAAAAATAAGAATCAGAGATACAGACTCGAGACACGTGAAGTTATTTAACAAAGATTAATTGATTAGGTATCTCATCGAATTTTTGGGCTTTTGCATTTTGATACAAAATTCCTTGGAGTAGGTAATTTCCTAAGTAGCAGGAGTAGGAACATGGCAATGGAAAGTGAAGATGTTTTCTTCCAGGCGTATATAATGGCGGGATGGTATAGAAAATACAATGCTTTATGTCCCATTTTTTTCAAATAGTTATTGAGGATTAACAAATAAAACAAAAACTAAATACATTTATAAGTAAATATAATTAATATAAATATCTTACACTCAAATACATAATTCCTAGTTCTAAATTTATGCAAATTATTTTTTTTTGTTTGCACAGAACTAGCCTACCGAAACACATTCATTAATTTTTTTTTTTAAATAGAGCCTGATGCATAATTATTATTATTAATTATAAGTTCAGCTTATATAAATGACTTTTTTGTCCGACCAGCTTCTTAGAGTTTTTTTTTTTTTAATAGAAATTCTTAATATTGAGCGGATAATGCGCGCGTTTTTCGGACTGATAGTATTTTACAATATTTATAATACAACGTACACATATTAAAAACAATAAAGCCGACATTTATGGAGAATTAAAGGCTTAATTATTATTATTAATATTATATACCATTTCACCTCTAAATTAAAGCACTGTTGCCAAACAATTGACATTCTCCAAACTCGTCGGCTTTAGCCTAGTATACTGACAATAATTCGAATACTGTCGCATTTGTCAACAAAAAAAAACACAAACTAAGCCCTAAATAAATTAATACAAAAAAGCGTTAAAAAAGTACACAAAAAATATCAAAAAATACTAAGTCACTTTTGTTAAAAAAATCACAAACTAAAAACTAATTAAGTCTATTCAATTCAAGTGATGTTTAAAAAAATATCCCTTTTTGATCTGTAAAAAGCTTTTGTATAATAAAATTTACCATATACATTTTTCAATATCACACAATTAAAATACCTGTATGATTTTAATAATTATTATTAATCGAACTAGTTCCTATCAAAATTGTATAAAGAGAGAGCTGAGACACTCGCAATTTGAAAATTATCTTCACTAGAAAAAATATATACAAATCAAATTAATGGAATTTCCTTTTTTTTTAGCTGCAATCGACAAGTCATCGAGTTTTTTTTTTTATACAATAGCGATCAAGCAAATATTCCATATTTGTGATTTTTCATAGAGTTTTGGTTCAACTTACAGACCTGGATTTGTTAAATGTAAAATGTAATTTCAAAAGTCAAAAGAGAAAATATTTCAAACCAATTCAGAACAATAATTACAAAAGTTCAGATATGAACATACTCAAAATGTAAGTTGGAACAAAACCATTTTGTATCAAACATAAGCATGCATTTCCGCCTACACATTTAAAAACTAGTGCCCTCCTCCCTCGAATCTATAATCAAGCACCATAACAATGTACGAAATGAAAGCAAAATTTGATGTCCCAATAAATCCAGACAAATATTTTACACATTGGATTTTACTTTAATCTTGTATAGACCTCAACTATGATTGGAGCACAATTCGTTCCAACGAGCCTCGAAAAATTGACGCATGCAATGACCGGCTTTACCTACAGGACTATCATCTTCGTTAAACGTTTCGCAATTGTTGAAGATTTGACGTACGTCCGTGCAAAAATCTTCTTTCGATTTGTATCTATAATAAAAAAAATTATCACAATAAATATCAATTTGATTTATTACTGTTCAAAAATCACTTACACTAAATCTTGTAGTCTTTTCTTAATCGTAGACAAATCCATAGGAATCTTGATTATTTTCTTATAAGTAGGAAACTGCTTGGTATTAACTGGCAAAAGGAACGGCCACGCGTCGTCGTGGCACTCGAGATCTTCTAGAATAGCCTTGCAAGGGGCCAATTCCTTCAGCAGCTTCTTGTGGGCCTTTTCTTTGTCTTTTTCTTTTTTAGCTGCCGTTTGGGCCGTCGTCGGTGAACTTTCTACAGAAACTGCCACGCTGGAATTGGATATCGAGGAGACATCACTGCCCTGGCTACAATTCGTTGTCGGTATATCTTCGTTGGTGGTTATTGAACTATGTGACGGGGTAGGACTGGAAGAAGAATATTAATAATTAATCAATTGATCTCAAAAAAATTATCTTCATGTTTATTTATTTATTTTTGCCAAGGCCAATTTACAGTAACAATAATGAAAAACAATTTACAATAAATAGTTTTACAACAAACCTAAACCTAAGCACGTAACAAATAACATCCTGATGAATTCACTAAGTTAATAACTATTCCATTGCTGAGAATTCCAAAAAACAGATACAACTTATTTAAAGAACTATCCAGCAAGCAACGGTAGCAATCCAGTGGCGGTCCATACATGATTTTCTGGGGGGGGGGGGGGGGGGGGGGGGGGGGGGGGGGGATGGGTGAAAGGAAAATTATCCAGTGTCGCAACGTGCCGTCGGGGGGTGCCATGCCCAAATTTGCACCCGAAAATCGTTAAAGAAACACGCCTCAACTGTATCCCGATGCAGTCAAAATAGTTATACAGGGTGTCTACCTAGTGCGATATCGGACGATATCTCCTAACAGGGTGATGCAAGAAAAATAATTAATTTACAAAGTTGTCTGATTCTCGAAGGTGCATTAGTTAAAAATATTTTTAAATATACAGGGTGCTCCGAGGAATGGTCCGTAAATGGGGTATACGAAAAAACTTTGGTATTTTTAAATGGAACACCCTTTATTTCAGTACATTAATGGATCGTTATAAAAATCCTACATACTTTTTGTTAAGAATCACCTATACCAAAACTTGACTGTTTTTGAAATATTTAATATTTTTTTAAAAAATCGCAGTTTGCATGTGTGAACAAAAACCAACAAATGAAATAGGTAAAGTGCGACAACTGAATGAACCTTGGCAACGTATGAAGAAGAAGACGGTAAAACGAAAACCTATACTATACGACGCGACGGGCGACGGGTCCCCGACGTGGTGCATTGCGAAAATTGCGGTTACCCTGACGCGACGACCCGCGTATATGTATTTAATCTCGGGCCAATCAGGAGGGTTTTGCCCGCATTCCTTCCACACAGGTTCATTCAGTTGTCGCACTTTACCCTTTATCTCACTGTATAGAAGAAGGTACGTCGGTACTGTGGGTGAGCCTGTCATATTTATACGATGCCTTTAATGCTTTAGGTACTTTGTAGAACTTGTCTTTTGTTGAAATTTTGTTGTAATTCATAAATGTATAAAAAAAAATCTTTGTCTGGCTGAGGGGGGGTAATTACACCCTCTACCCCCCCTTTAAACCGCCCTTGTAGCAATCTGCTTCTAAAGGCAAGAAGAGAAGGAGAACCAATATTCCGGCTGCTAGAGTTGGCAAACCATGGCACCCTTAAGATCGATTCATTCATTCCATAATTAGTATTATGGAATGGTACATAAAACAGGTCAGAATCTCTCACCCTTCTTTTTCCTCCTCTCAAGGAAACGAGACCCAGAAGATCTGGGCAGTCAATTAACCCTTTCAAACGCTAGTTAAGGAAAGAAAAATCCGCGTGAAGTCTCCTGCTTCGCAAGGTATGAACACTCAAGAAAGCCTTCATCCCGTTATAAGAATACTCATCATGAGCCAAGCCCAATCTGTAAGCAGCCACCCTTAGAAATTTATTCTGAACGCTTTCCAAAGCTGCAATGTGAACAGCATATTGAGGTGACCAAACAACCGATGAGTATTCCAACATGAATCGCGCCATCGTACAGTACAATGTTCGCAATGTATTTACAGACATATCAGTAGTGGACCAAACATCTAACAGTCCTTGAGACATATTGGTAATATGGCCATTAAATGACATCTTGGAGTCAAATTCCATTTCCAAATCTCGAATGCTTGCTACTTCCCTGATGTGTTATTAATCGTGTAAGGGAACGTCACTGTTTTGGGCTAACCTGGAAAAAGTTATTTTCTAACATTTGGCAAAATTGAGGTCCATTTCGTTCGAGCCACACCATTTATCAAAAGAATCGATGTCATCTTGAAGCAATGGTGAGTCTTCTTACGATGATACCTATAAAGTTTAGGATTATCTGCAAATGACAAAAATGAGCTGTGGGCAATGGAACTACCCACATCTTATATAAACAGGATCGGCCCACAGTGAGACCCCTGGGGTACGCCAGAAGGAACATCAAAGACACGAGACGCAACATCACTATACCTAACTGCCTGAGTTCTCCCCAAGAAAGTCAGCAAACCAACTCCGAATTGAACCTCTCACCCCCAAACAACCAAGCTTCCTAATGAGCAGGCGATGGTTAGCCCTATCAAAAGCCTTAGAGGAATCCGAGTACACAGAATCAATCTGGAACCCCCTTTCCATGCTGTTCAAAATAAAATTGATACAAAACTAAATTTGTTGATATTGCCTACCCACCATAAATCCATGCTATTCCGGATTAAAAGGGTACTTACAGTCCCAGCTATGTCTCCTGGTAATGAGACAATCCAGCAACTTAGGAAACTCAGACTGCGTGCAAACAATCCTGTAATTTGTGACCTCTTCTCTCGAACCACTTTTAAATATTGGTTTCAAAAAGCTGAACTTCTATAAAACCGAGTAAGAACCTGTCGACAATGAATGGTTGAAGAGATTTGCCAGGGGCGTCTCGACGGTGTACAAGCCTTTCTTTATAAAGAGCAAGGGAATTCCATCCGTCCCACATGACAACTTATCGAATGTAATACCACAAGAGATTTCAGGATTACCGGATAATACTTTTACCTGTCACGAAACGCGTTACGCAGCAACACCACGACTCCGAAGGAGGTAAAAATATTAGGTAATCCTGAAAGATCGAGTGGTATTCAAAAGATTATACAATTCACTGTACATTATCCCCATATGACACGAGAGGCTTAACAAGTGATAAGCCTTGTGGGATTATCGCGCTTGGTGGCAATATTGTTCATTTGGCATTAATAATAATAAAAATTAATAAAGTATTGACGTTTAGTTCGTTGTATAACCTTCTGAATACCACTCGATGTTTCAGGATTACCTAATACTTTTACCTGACACTCAACGCGTTACCAGCAACACCACTCCTCCTTCGGAGTCGTGGTGTTGCTGCGTAAAGCGTAAAGTAAGGTAAAAGTATTATCCGGTAATTCTGAAACCTCTTGTGGTATTACATTCGATTATACAACGAACTAAACTTTAATACAAAACGTAACATATTTTTTTCTATAATAGAATTTGCTATAATAATTGCCACCAAGCGCGATAATCCCAAAACAGAGTATCCAGAAACATCAGTGATATTGGAAAATGAGTATTCCGGAGCTTGACTAGTAAACATTAAAAAAGAAGTCTGCAAACAAGTCTACAGTCTCTTGATTACTACAGCCAATTATAATTCATGTTACAGGAAAGAACAAATTTATTTCTAAGATTGTTGAAGTGTGACCAAAAAGATCTAGCATTTCCAATAATGTTATTTGATGTATAATTTGTGGTTCAAAAAACTGCAAAATTGGATTTGTGATGGCACGCCATTTGCGTATCTCACTGCTCTCTTTTGCTGTACAAAAATGGATTTGAAAAAGAAATAAGTGCATGAAGCCCTAACACAAATTCCATAGGGCAAATGAGACTCAATGCACTCTAAATAGACTGATCAAATTTTGAATCTAATGTGACTCTGTCTCTGTCAGCTTAACATTGCTGAATCCTTTCCGTCTACGAGCTAAACACTTTTCGATTTCCAAACCAGTAGAGCAGTTTGATGTTTGACGTTCAAGATGGCGTTGCGGCATACACAGCTTATTTTCATTTTTCTGTGAATTTCCAAAGTGTTTTTATGTTTGAGAACGAGAACGTTTTTTGATAGAATTTTTTTTTTGGCATTGTGTGGTTCATGTAATTTATGTTTTTGACATTCATTTGCTTCTGGCACAATTTATATTTCTCAGAAGTACCAAGATTGGCAAGGCATGTTTGATATGCCCATTATCTTTTAATACAAGTGAACTACAAACTTTCACCTCTTCCCAACATCAGGAGATTCGAGCAATAACTTTTGTAGATAAGCATTCTGCATTTTATCAAAAATCAAAAAATATTTATGAACTATATGTTTCAGACTGCTTACAGTTCATCTTGATGTAACTTAGGCCTTTCTACCTACTTGGGGCACAGTTTCTTGGGGCTCGTTTTGTACCTGTTGTCCAGGTATATAGATAAATATTCAATAGAATATAACTAGTGCAATGGAAATTATTGATAATTTTTGGGAAATTTGCCCGAATGGCTTTTCAGTTAAAAAAGCATGAGTGCAAATTTGTCGAAAATTATAAATATATTTTCATTGCACGAGTTGTATTTAATGAGAGAATTTCGAAAATCAAAAATTTTAATTTTTTGTCAAAAAATGTCAAAACACCAGTTTTCGCACCAGTTAGTATGCAATTATCGCGTAATTACAACAATCTGATTGGTTCAAATCAACAATCAAAACATGTCAATTTATTGTTGGAATACCAGTTTTGACAGATGTATGAAATTCTCCAAGTAGTTACTTGGAGAATTTCATACATCTGTCAAAACTGGTGTAGGTGTAGTTACAAACATTGAAGGAAATTGAAATAAATTAAAATTTATTAAATTAAACTCTGAAACAAGTAGAAATAAGTGAAATAACACACATTTATATCTGTCTTTATATAGAGGCATACTTAACCTCAATGGTTTGTTTACATTTGTGCCGCATCGCCATCTTGAATCATCAGCTGATTCGAACTGCCTAATAGTTATTTACATTCCAAGCTGCGAAAGCGTACTTTTAGATGCGAGGTGTATTCAAATAGCCGAGGCGAAGCGAAGCGCAGCCGAGGCTATTTGAATACCTTCGAGCACCTAAAAGGGCTTTTGCAGCGTGTAATGTATTAAACTTTTCATTCTTCCCCTTCAAAAATCGTGAATAGGCATGCGAAAGTGAAACATGTTAATAGCGAAAGTGAAAGTAACTACTAGCATGTTTCACTTTCGCTTTCGCTCGCCTATGCAAGATAAAAAATTCTACTTT